GTAAGAGCAGATCATCACAATCTATTGGGATAATGTTGCTGAAAATGCTCAGCACTCACCATCCTAAAGAAACAAACAGGGAATTTTGAAACCATTTCAATTTGTGTATGTGAGTGGATATGTATTAGCAGAATTATTATACTATATGAACTGTGTCTTTGGAAAACTGCACACAGTGTTGTATTATACGTTCCTTATTGACAACTTCCCCCAAACCCAATATATACCTGCCTGGTATGATATATGTGTCTCCCACACCCTCATCTGTGTGATACATGACAATTGTTTGCCACTTTCTTCTTTGACTAGATTTAATTTACTCTGATCTCATTGATTAGCTGATGTGGTTGTGGTTGTGTTATCTGCTGAAAGATTTCCACTTTTGGAAATGGTTAATTAGGGAATTTGTAGTAACCCTCCCAGCTGAAGAAATTAAAATTCTTGGGAATATATTTTACAACATCTTCTTCTATACATTGAAGAGCTAATCTGGGACTGAGGGAAAAGTAACATTTAAATCTAGGTGAAGGTTAACACTCACAGAAATAGATAAGCGCTCAAGTGTCCACAGAACATTGTATAATTACCAGGAAACAACAGTGAAGCTGAACTGATATAAAGGATGGTGACAAAAGTCTTATCGTCAATTCACCCCATCTGGGAGTCTGATACTTCCCACACTATAAACTGGGACCCTGAAGGTGTACATTTCCATAGTAACAGGTAATTTTGAGTAAAGCAGCCCTGGTAGATACTTGCAGCCCAAGGCAGTATCTGCTGAGTGATCTAGGAACCACAGGCCTTAACCTTAGGTTAGTCATTACAGAGTGTTAGTGTAAACAACTGACAGCACAAAAGTGATTTCCCTGGAAATAAACAACAATATTCTTGTCACCTGTGGGTAGGATTGTCTTGCGTGGTTCCCCAGTACCTACACTGTAGGGCCACCATTCCTGCAGCCTCTCACAGAGCAGGTATCCCTGTGCCTGAGGAATGGAGGAGCACAGAGATCAGGTGGCATGGATGCCAGGCTGGAAGCCTAGTGAGCTCCTGCAATGAGACAGGACCAGGGGAACTGAAGGAAACAGAGAAACAGCAGGGTGTTCAGCAAAGTCAAAGGGTAGCACTTCTAGCAGCTCTTAAACTCCTAACTGCTCCCCAGATTGTAGCCCAGGAGTGGAAAGAACAGTTTTGTGAACTCCTGATTTCCAGTCTCCACCCTAGAGCAGTCAGAGCTTCAGTGAAGGATTCACTCAAGCTCTAAGACTTTCAGGTTCCAAAGTAACCGGGTGCCACTATGACCTACTTTTCAGTGGAAATCCTTTGCTGCCACACTTGGAGTTTGTTATTGCTGCCAACAGCAACTCGCCTTGTACCATTGCTTTAATACCAAGGAGCCTCTAAACTGCTTTCTGACTAGAGCTGTCTGGCTGAGAAATTCTAGGTCACTTCCACCCTTTCAGTTAACATGGAGGTGTTTTCCCTGCTGCATCTCTAAATAAATTGCTTTTGTGGCTTTACAAATCTGCAAAGAGACCAAATATTTTCTAATAATGAAATCAAGGTAGTTTGGGTCACATCACCCATGTTTCCTCCCTGTAATTTTCTGGGAGACTTAAGGAGCAGTGATATTGAAGATGGAAGCATTGTGGCTTTACTCTATAGCCAAAGGTAGTAGGGAGCAATCTCAGGGTTCACAGGCCTTTAAAAGGGTCTCTTTGCCAGGTGCCTCAACACAGTCCTGCTTCTGACTTCACCTCTTGACATTTGGCCCCTAGTTGGGTAGTGACTGATAATTTCACTAACAACACTAAGGTGAGTCAGTCTGGGGAAGCTGGGGTTGCCCAAATGTTCAGATCGTGAATAGAGCAAAGCTATTCCAAAGCTGGTGGAGTTGTCTTTGGCATGATGGAGAACAGCAGGAGCAGGAAGAGCTCTCTGACTTTCCTACTCCCCTTCTTCCCTGGAGCAGGCCATAAATCCTACAGAGAACCTTCTGATCTTCCCCCAATTGTCCAAGGGATGGCTCCTGATGCCCAGAAAAGAAGAACACCCTAATCTCTACAGAGAATGGGTCACACAGAAGAGTCTCAACAATCAGGCCTTGCAATACCTCCCTGGTTTGTTACACTAGATCACACTCTCATTTTTCCATCATGTGTCCCTATAGCTGTCCACTCTTTGACCAATCTAGCAGAAAAACATTCAGGTGTAACCATTTCTTTGGGTGTTCACTGACATAAAAGCTCCTGCGCCTTGTAACATTGATATTAAATAAATGTGTGCATTTTTTCTATTAATCTACCTTTGTTAGAGGGCCTCAGCCACAAACCTGGGATGGGTAGAGAAAAAGATATTGATCCGCCCCTCCAAACAAAGATGTGAAGCTTACAGAGCTCGTTCCCAAGCTCCTTCCACTCTCTGTGCTCATCTTCAGTCTCCCCTCCCAGGACCGGTGCAGGCTTAATCTCAAGGACAATGTCTTCTTTCAAGTCCTTTCTCTTTCTTAATCTCTCGGCTATGTTTACTTTATCCTGAAGCCTGAAGGTCTTTGGGGAGTCTTGGCTAACCAACCTTCTAAATCAGCCAAATGTACAAATGTGAGGATTCATGAGAGAAGGGGAAACACCAAGGCAGAACTGAGTGTATTGCTCCTGATAATAAAGAACTGTGCTGGTCAAGTTCAGTGTCTCTGAGCACAGTAGAACTTGACTTTGAATCAAATTTTTGGCAGTGGTGGGCTGGTAAATCAATTCTTTGGGGATCGAGGGTGTGAGAGGAAGAGCATTTGCTAATATCCATGATGTAAATATTCATTCCCATCATGGCCTAACTTCAAGCTACTGAAGATCTAACAAATGGCTCAATAATTCCTGAATATTTAATGAGTTTTTCTGCTGGCCCTTGGAGTCTAGCTTTCATACACCATTTTGTTCAGAACCCTGAAGCTCAGGGGGCGGGGTATATGTGATTAACACCATGGTTAGGAGCAATGTCACTTGGTTGAGACAGTTGTACATTGGGTGGCACTCAGAGAAGCAAGTATTGGAGTGAGTCCATCCCTGGTTGGCTGATTTCCAGAAGAAAGAGGCTGACATTGATAGTTTTTTTAAGCTCCCACTGAGGTGACTTGTCAATAATCCAGCAGATAGACTTGAAACTAGTTTTGACAGCTATTTATTAGCAGGGTATATTTACGAAAATTTCTCCTTTCCCATGTTTTCAGGAACATTTTTATTCTCAGGTGTTATGCTGGACAAAAAGTTTTAACACAGGCCTTCTTAGCAAAGAATGAACAGTATAGGATACTTACTCAGAATTTCAGTTAGAATCATACTGTTCAAATGGCCGATGAAAAAAATCTCCCACCAACATTAAAATGAATACATCTTGATGAGCTATGTTTTCCATATTTTTTAAGTGTGTAGGATTTTCAGTTCATTTTACAGAGATAATCTAAGGTTTTCCTCTGAGATAAACATCAGTTACTTCTTAGATCTCTGTGCCAGGTAAACAGGGAACTGACAGTCTTAATAAAACATTTTGCTTGCCTTATCACCAAAGGAAGTCCCTGTCTTTTATCTTACAAGCTTGGCTACAACATACTCTGCTACTTCTCCCAACATTTGATTTGTTTCTAACCGCTCCTATTCTTTGACTTCTCTCTGATTCACCCAATCCCTGCTTTCCCACTACCACCTCTATCCAGCGGCCCCTCCCCAGGACAAACCACAGAGCTTCTGAAAAGATGTCCTTCTGCTGAGGGCTGTGCTTCCCAGCTGGCACTGTCTCCGACTTTCCATCATTCCATTCAATGAGATATTCACCATTTTATTATAAAATAAGCTCTGTATTGGATTCTCAGTCCCATATAGACTAATGGAAGTGTTCTCAGTGTGTTTAAAGTAGGCTGGCTGAACGATGGTGTTTGGTAGGGTAGGAATACGAAATGTATTTTCAACCTACCAAGGGCTTGTCAGGACAAATGCCATTGTAAGTCAAAAAGCATCTGTATGAGATGAGAGGCGGCCATGCTAAGAGGCAGCCTGGACTTGACTCCTGGGCAGTAGGTTCAGCATCCTGTTGACTCCCCATAGGAGGGCCACCTCCCAGTCCTGAGATTAGGACCACTGCACACACACTTCCAAACAACCTCTGCTTGGGGCGGGGAGCTCACTGAGAATTACACAATGTCTTCCATATCAAATCCCCCCACACCCAGTTCACACAGTTTCTCAAACACAGATTCCAACTTCTACTAGAATCCCTCCCTCCCTCCTTCCTGCCTGCCTCCTTTATTGCCTCCCTTTTCCTTTCTCACCCCTCCCAGCTCAGACTCAGACTTTCTTCCAGCCATTCCATTCCTGGCCTGGGATCTCTCTGATCCTCCTGGTCCACACACCCCTTCCTGCTGGGCAGCCTCCAGGCCTGCTTTGACCTTTCCCACCTGCCCATCCTGCCCCCAGTCTGCTTTAAGCACCTGATAACAGTTTCACCAAGCTTTCTGTTTGTTTGTGTCACCTTGTCCTGTGAATCAGACCCTCAGTTTGTGGAGGAAAGTGGGCCACTCTTATCTCTACTCTTACTCTTATCTCTAGCCTTGGAACAATAAAAAGTAGCAAACCCCCAGGGTGATGCCACTTGGTCCATTTCAAAGTTCTTGACCAGAACCTAATTGCTTACCTGTGCTCACTTCCAGCCTGTGATGAGGCCCCTCAGAAAGACTGTAACAGGCAGAACAGGACTGGAGCCTGGGGAAACTTCTGCCCCTCTGCAGCTTTTGATTAGTAGGAACAAAGGGAGGAGAGGTGCAAGCAGCTGACAACCTGATCACCTGAGAGATGATCCCATCTTTGTCACACTGAATTGTTGGCATACTAGAGGTCGGTGATAAAACTGACCTGCCTGTGTGTGTCTGTACCCATAAACCCAGCCATCGGGCTCACACTCAGCACAGAAACACCTTGTGGTAAAGTCAGGGGCCACTGCAGTGTCTTTACCTTCTTCTGCTTGGTGGAGGTCAGTGCTGTCTTTTAAGTCTTCATCCACCCAGGGCCAAGCTTGGAGCTCCCCTTTCTTTTTCTCTGGGCTTCTATCAGCAGCTTTAAAGATCCACACGATCAAAATGCAGACAACTGCTACCAGGACTGGAGTCAGGAAAAACATGGTTGGGAGGGAGTTGGCTCTTACTCAGAGGAATCCCACTTCCCACGCTGGCATTTAAACAGAGACAGAAGCGGGGAACTCTGGGAGTGGAAGAACAGGGAGGTGTACAGCAAAGGAGCAAAGTCCAGAGCTCTCAAAGGAGCAAAGATCACAGTCACGTGCAGGCATGATGTGTGTCGGGGGAGGGGATTGGTCATGCACCAGCACACTCATTTTTTAAAATTGTGTACTCAATCAAAAATTCTTAGGCAGTAATCCTTGGGCTATGTGAGGGGCTAGCTCTCGCTGGCAATGGTAAAAGATATTTCATCTTCTCTATAACTTTTCTCTGGGAGTGTCTTCAACTTAGGAATTGTCTGAAGAAGGTGATTTTACAAGAAAAAGGGGATAGTGTTTGGGAACCAACTCAGATGTTGTGAAAGAAAATTTCCAGGCAATCTGCATTTTAAATGGTACATGTGAGAGGCATTGTTCTTGAAGCTGTGATTTTTAAAACAATGCCCTTGCCAATATATGGAGCAAGGAAGCATCATGTTTTACATTAGAGAAAAACTTGGACCCAGAAAAATGATAACTCTTAATTATATAACTTTAAGTTCTTTTTGTTTTGTTTCTGATTTGCTTTATTGTATTAACAAGTATCTTAGTTTGGGCCATGATAACCAAATTGCTATAGACTGGGTCAGTTCAGTAACAAAGCTGTGTTCCTCTCAGTTGTGGAGGCTGAGAAATTCATAATCAAGGTGCCGGATGAATCAGTTCTTCCTGGCTTGCATATACTGCCTTCTCCCTGTGTCCTTACATGGGTGCTAATTCGTGCCTCACACTAACCCCGTGCAGTCGATTCTATTATTATCCCCATTTTTCATGTGAAGAAGGTGAGGTACAAGTAGGTGAAATAATGTGCCTAAAGTCAGCATTAGATAAATGGGCCGGAAGTAGCCCCTTTGTATCTGCCCAAAGAGTCCTTGTTGTTTCCTCCTGCAGAGCAAACAAGAGCCCTTACCCCACAGCCAATGAGAAGATGGAAATTGGGCTCATGCATAGATCTAGAAGGTCCTGGATCCGGCCTCCCAGGGCTCCTGCCCCATTTAGGGGGGTGTATGGAAAAGAGGTTTAAAAATACACACAACACAGAGGAGAAGGACTTGGCAGCCTTCACCAGTGAGACACTGATGGAGCAAAAAGCGCAGAGGAGCCTAAGCGGTTAACAGCGACTGCCCCAGGGAGAGATCCCTGCTCCTTCTGTCCCAGAGCCCCTGCAGGCCTCAGTGAAGAGAAGTCTTCCTGGGCACTAGTTCTTGGGTTTCCTTAGGACGATCCCCCTTTTTCTGTGGACTCCTGCAGCACATACCTGAGCAAGGCCTGGTGAGTGTGTTCACACCTCCACACCCCACACCACCGTCGCAGCCAGGCGTCTCACTGTGATCACATCAGGATAGCAAGATGCTTCACAGTGCTCCCTGAGAGTTGCAGTAAAGGGTTCTGATGCTGCCATGAGGTCAGCTCTGTTTTACTTGAGACCCAGAGCTCGTGTGCGGGGCCCAGGAGCTTGCTGACCTATGGAAGGCCCAAACGTGCCTCTGCACTCGGAGGAGTTCTGAGGCAACGTGGCCTACTTGTTTTCCCAATGCTTCTTCCTCACGAAGTTAGAAAAAGGAAATGAGTACCGAGGGCAGGTGAGCAGAGATGGTATGAGACAGCCTTGTACCATGCATCATCCCTACTTCGCATTGCTCGCTTCAGATTGATTTCATTTTAATCATTTTGGGACTGGATGCCAGCCTGCAGACCACATGAGCAGCACCGATGTAGAAGACACATTCCTTCTAACACGGGCAGTTTTAACGTTCAGTGCTGATGTTAGATCCGATAATCTCAGTCCATTTTCTTTCTAGCTTCCTCACGTCTTGATGTGGATTGGCAGGAGAAGCAAAGCAGTTTGAAAGAGGATTTCCTAGGAGAGACTTGTTGGGGCATCTCGTGAGCTGACTCAATTCTAATGGGTTTACACAGCATTTACCATGCTTGTTTGTTATGGATTTGTACCAAAGGCTCATTAGCAAGTGCTATGCCAAGTCTTCAGGGGAAAGACTTGAAATAGGCCTGTGTTGTACTCTGAGATATTGGTTGAGTTGTGAAGTTGGAAAATCACAAGGAATTTATACATGCTTTTAAATTTAACTGGCTTCAGCTATACTCAACTCACATTTCCTAACATCAAGCCTCTGAAAGGTCTTTACTGTCTGCCTACCTACCCAGGGGATTATGTGTTACCACATTTGTCACATGTCACTGGGTGCTAGCCCTGAGTCAATGCTTTCTCTACCATTATCCCACTGAGTCCACAGGATGAGGCACTTTACAAAACCCCATTCTCCTGGAGGAAAAAGAAAATAAAGAGCTATGCACTGTGGCAGCCTGAGCGACTGAGTCAGAGCAGGGCTCTACCAAGCATCGTCCTGGGCCTGCATCATCAGCATTTCTTGGGGCTTCTTAGAGATCCTTAACCCAGGACTACAGCACTAGCCACCCCAGGGCAGGCCCAGCAATGGGCTTCACCATTCTGCTGCCAGCTAAAATTTGACAAGCTTTGTGCTATAGGAAAGACATTTTCCTCACATTCCCTACTTCACCCCAAATTCAGATTCTCTACATCTGAACCCCTGTACTATCCAGAGGGGCAAAGTATTCTAAACATCAAATTTCTATTGAAATATTTTCCTACATGTTGTCTCAATAATACATAGTACCTAGAAAGTAATAAACTCCCATTAAGTATGAGTTCAAATTTTAAGACTGGAAATGATGTTTAAGATTTTGTTAAAAATTAATCTGGCTACCATCAGGTGCTAAAAAAAGCTGTGATTGGAAAATGAGTCCAGGATTGCTTATGGCAGTTTAGGTGAGAACTAATAGGGGTCTTATCTTGGAAGAAAGTTGTAGAACTGGGCAGAGGGGTTGTTTGCATACAGTGGGTGGTGAAAGTAATACATTCGGCCATAGCGGATTACAAAGTGGGAATCAAGTTTATACCCCTCTAGTGCCTTTAGAAACAAAGCAACTCAGTCACTTCCCTGTATTTAGCTGTAAATAGCACCCTATAACTTTTCCATTATCCTAAGAGAGAAAAAAATAACATAACAAAGCCTTAGAGAATCTGGAGTCGTAGGTGAGAGATTCAAAGGGAGGCACGTAACACCAGAAGTGTTTGGCTTTTTCATGGTAAAAGCCTGAGTTAAGGGACTCTTTTCCCCTTTTCCCTTTTTCCTGTTCTGCCACTACTTTTCAATAAACATGTAACTAGCTACTACTGGGTGTACTCATGGCGGCAATTCTTTCCTTGTCATACACAAGTGGCCCACTCAATTGTAGCACCCCTTTCTCCAGGCAACTCACATATTCCAAGCCTTACTCCCTGGGGAAAGAGTTTGGGATTTTCAGTACAGTGTGTTATTTAACCCAGTGAGCATCTGAGTGGAGTCAGTTACGGGCTCCTCCACTAAAAAGAGCTTTCAAAGCAAAAGCTCAGAAAAAACACAGGCCTCAGAAAGTTGGGGATTATGCAAGGTGTGTGACTCATCAAGTGAGGCTGTCTTTGCTCCTAACAAAACAACTCCGAACTAGAGGCTCCATTTGACCCAGCTATCCCTCTGCTGGGTATCTTTCCAAAAGAATTAAAAGAATCATACCACAGTGATATATGCGCACCTATGTTTATAGCGGCACAGTTTGTAATAGTTAAAACTTGGAAACAGCCCATTTGTCCATCAGTTGGAAACTGGCTAAAGAAGATGTGGTTTTTCTATAAAATGGAATACTACTCAGCCATAAAGAATGAGAAATTAGATTTATTCATAGGAAAATGGATACATATTGAGGATATACTCCTAAGTGAAATAAATAAGTCACACATACCGAATAGTTTCTTTGGTGTGAAAAGCTGTAATAGTACATAAGATCCTAATGAGATAATTGACAATGTGAAATAGGAAGAAAAGGGCTAAAAGTATAGGGAAAATGGGAAGGGCAGCGGAAAGGTAATAAGGGAAAAGAAAAAAGTATGAGAAAATGAAAAAATGGAAATAAAGTGTTTGTAAATAGGGAGGGGAAGAGGGGTAAAGGGAGGTCAGGGACAGGGGGTAAAATGAGAACCAAGACCTGTCATGTAAAGGTACAAGATCCCAATGATGAATGTATAGTGCTAAAATCGGAATAACTCCATTCTAAGACAGAAAGCCATCTCATGTAAGATGTGACTCCTAGGTAAACTGTGGGAATTCGCTTAGCAAAAGAGAAAGGCAAGGCCAGATGGCTGGAAAAGGGGGCCATAAAACTGCGGGAATTCGAATTCTCTTAGAAAAGAGTTTGGTACTGAGGACCCTATGATAGGGAAAACCTTAATAAGCGAAAATTTAGGAAATGTCACAATATAAGATAACTTCTGCCCCTCACCCTGCTTAGTTCAGAATTAACAGGTACTGGGAGAGACCTAGTCTCCTCACAAAAGTTTGTAAGTGAAAAGAACCATTGTTAGCTTTGTTAATCAAACAAGCTCCCTTCCCCCTGGCTAGAGCAGGCAATTGAATGAATCTAAAAGGTAACTTCCCTAACAAAAAACCAGCCCCAAACCCACCCCAAGATAAGTTTTCTTCCTGCTCTTGCAAGTGCCCCAGCAACACCCAATAGAAATAAAAAAATAGAAAATAACACCAATGAAAAAGAGAGGATTTCAAGCCTCCCAAACCCTATAAATTTATGCTTTAGAAGGGGGTCTAGACTCTCGATATGGAACCACTGCACCGGTGAGGTACAAGAGTCCAGGCTTGAGCTTGCAATAAACTCCTCATGTGCATTTACATCGGACTCGACTCCTTGGTGGTCTTTGGGGACTTCGTATTCTGGGCACAACAAATGTAACTGTACTGTGTACCTAAAATGTACCAATAAACTCAATGAGAGGAAAAAGAAAAAAAAAAACAACTCCGAGATGGAAGACCTCCCCGGGTGTTTTTCCTCCCCGCCCCCTCAACATCCCAATAGTCATCCTGTAATCTCTGAGATAAATGAAAGCACTCAGCCACAAACAAAACTGATATGGGTGT